CTCTGAGAAGGTGCTATTTAAGAGACTGAGCTGAATACAGCTCCTCAGACTGAGGAAGTCTCTCGAATGAGATACGAAACGTTTCTACAATTTTTTTTGTTGTTTTGCTTTGTTTTGTTTTTTTGAATGTCCAGAGGACTAGATTTAACTTTTTTGGATGTTAAATAAATGTTTGAGTAGAACTTGCACACTGCAAGCACTCTGTGACCTTTTTTCTTATAAACTAGAAGAGGTTCACATTGCTTACTGTGCAATATCAGCTAAACCCAGAACCATTCCCAAAACTTGCAAGCACACATGCAATGTGTTTTTCCCCACAACCCCTGAATGCTGACTCCTCACATCCACATGCCATGGATGGACAGACGTTTCAATTCTAGCGCAGCTCTTTTGGTCATTCACCCTGGGTGGTCACTGCAGCCATCATGGCTGGCACCTTAAGCAATAAGGTTTAAGGAAAGATGTGTGTGTGTGGGGGGGGGGGGGGGGGGGGGGGGGGAAAAAGTGTTTTTCAACTAGGACTGACAAAAAAAAAATAGGTGAGGTGAAATGGCAGCTGCTAAGTAGAGGATTGTACAGGATGTTATTAGAGCATTTTACTCCCAAAATGTTTCTTTGTTTTCTCAATTACAGGTTTAGCTATTTTTTTTATTTGTCTTTAAAAATAAATGTGGTAAAACTGTGACCTTTTCAAATTAAAAACAAGACATATACTTTAAATTAATTGGAAAAGGACAGCACATAAAACACAGTGGGACGTTAAAACAATGCCACTCGTACTTTGTACAAAGAGCCAAAGGCTAATTTTCAAATCTAGTCCTCAGTTGGGCTATTTTAACCAGAAACAACAATAAAACCATCCATCAATTTCATTCTTCCTTTCTGGGATGCGTGGGAAGTGATTCTACAGAGATCATTGTGCAAAAAGTGGGGTACACCTTGGATAAGTTTAAATTCCATCATGAATGTATTGTTTTCTGTTCGTAAAAGGTATTTCCCAATTGTCTTACTAAAAGTACATTTTTAATAGAGGTGAATCAATGTTTCATTGTAAAGATAGCAAAAGGAGCAAAGAGAGAGATCTTTAGTTAGTAATTTATAATACCTGGAATACTCCCTCGGACTGTGCAGATTCTGTACAACAGTGTGTTAGTCTTATTGGCCAGCAGAACACAGACATTCAAAATGCAGAACATTGTATCT